GTCCAGCCCCACCCCTGACCCTCCATTATGGCCCATTTCCCATCCTGGCGCCTTCTCTTGGCTTTAAGATAGAATCTAGGGGTACAGAAGGGGAGAAGTCAGCCTGGACAGAGACCAGAAACTCTTGCTCTCTGAACCCCGACCAGGCTTCACCCTCAAACTTCCTGGTCCGGCAGGGGATGTGGTGGGGCTTGTGGACAACTGGGGGGGCCACACACACCTGCCCATGGACAGGCCCGAGGAGGGAACCACAGCTCCCAGGCCTGAAGGACCCAAACCAACGCCCCGGACTGTGTGCTCTAACCGTCCCACGACTGCGACAATCACCACGCCTGACCGCCTCACACTTTCCGTGAAGGGCACGTGGCAGGCGTGGCAGAACCTGCCCCCTCAGCTGAGGCAGAGACAACGCTGTGGGTAGTCTCCCCCGGGCTTGGATTTCAGGAAATTAAAAACCTTGAAACCAGACCTACAAATGTGTTGACCATTAGCAAAAAGACAGCTGTGAACACACACACGCAGCAGAAGAAATTAGAGAACTGGGGAAAATGTTAAATCTAGAGGTTATCTTTACTGAAACACAAAAGGCCTGCACTATTTCACAGTTTGGGTTCTACGCCGAGGTAGCTTTCCAGCCCCACAGGGTGAGAAGTTCCTGGGTGTCCCCCAGTGATGCCGGGCGGGGGGCTTTATTGGTGTGTCAGTCACTCAAGTGTGACCATCACTGTGCCCCAGATGCCAGTGCTGTGTGAGGAAACCGCCAGGCAGGGGTCCCAGGAAATGAATTAACATAATGTACAAAATTAAACTTGTACTGATCAACAGAATCCAAAAGAAACGCTAGGGCACTGCCTCTCCACATTCCAGTGCGGGGAGGAGGCGTGGGCAGGCGGGCAGTCCCTCCTGCCACCACGCAGGTCCACGGGGCCTGGCGGGCGGGCCACCCTCCCCCCGCCGGCTCTGACAATGAAGGAAGGAATCTTAGGAACATGACAACTTGTTTTCTCTGTGATTTGAATCAGCCAGCCTGACTCAACATTTCAAAATTAAATTTAAGCCCGGCCGGCGTGGCTCAGAGGTTGAGCATGGACCTAGGAGATCGAGGTTCGATTCCCGGTCAGGGCGCATGCCCGGGTTGTGGGCTCGATCCCCAGCAGGGGGTGTGCAGGAGGCAGTCAATCAGTGACTCTCAATGACTCTCATCATTGATGTTTCTCTCTCTCTCCCTCTCCTTTCCTCTCTCTGAAATCAAGAAAGACATATTAGCCGGGCTGGGCATGGCTCAGCGGTTGATCATCCACCTAGGATCCAGGCGATTGGGGTTCGATTCCAGGTCAAGGCACATTCCCGGGTTGCCGGCTAGACAGCTGATCAATGACTCTCTCATCATTGATGTTTCTCTCTCTCTCTCCCCCTCTCCTTTCCTCTCTCTGAATTCAGTAAGGATATATTTTTTTTAAAAATTGTAAGGAAATAAATTAGAACCCAGTAGGAATGTCTTTTAAAATCACGCTGTCCCTACTTTTTCAAGGATAAACTCAGAAGAAGACAGGAATGAAAGTCACGAGGAAAGCACCTCGCTTCAGAGGTGAGGGGACCGTGGACCAGCCGCCTCGGAGAAGGCAGGAGAAACAGCAGCAACCCAGCAGCGGTCAAAGCGCAGACAGATGGGCTCAGGGCTAAGCTGGTAACGCCGATTAAATCGCTCAGACGCCTGTTCCAAGACGTGGGCCGGGATCGGGAGGGGTGAGGTCGTGGGGAGCAGGCGGGATGTAGACGGGGACACTGAGGCAGGGGCGGGAGGCGGGGGCAGCTCAGCCCGGCCCCAGGTGGCTGCGGATGGGGAAACGCTCACCGTCTGAGACCCGTCCTTACTCGCTGCCGTCCACCGTTCAGTCCACCGCCCACCGGGAGTCCGGCGGCCCGGGGCGTCGAGGGGCATGTGGGAGGCCTGTCCCATTTCTGGTGGTTACACAGTCTGTCCCGTTAACTCGTGAGACCCCCTGGCCTGGACGCTCTGCAGTCTCACCGCCGCCCGCGTCCCTGTATACTTGTGGTTACCTGTCCTACCGGAACTCAGGCTACCCCCTCCGAGGTCCGTCTGTCTGTCTCCAGTTCAGGGAGGGTCGTAGTTGGCATGTCTTCAGCCACTGCTCCTCCACCGCCTCTCTCCCCTCCTCTCTCCCTGGGCTCCTGGGGGCGCTGTGCCTACCCTGGGGAAGCCCTGGGCTGCCGCACGGGGACCCGAGGTACATTCCTCCGTCCTGCTCTCCTGAGTGACGCCGTCCCCTGATCTGTGGGATGGCCACTGCTCCACATTCCGACAACTGCGAAGTCTGAGAAGGCAGGGACCACGTGCTCCTCCCTGCACCCTCCCGGGCCGAGCACGGGGAGCCCAGTGAGCACCTGCCCCACCCTTCGCCCACCAGAGCTGGCAGCTACCGCTCCACCCTGCCGCACCCACTCATGAGCCCTGCACCCTGGGGCCTGTCAGAGCCGCAGACCCTGGGTCGGCACCTTCATCCCCCCGAGGCTCGCCACAGAGCCTGGCTATTCCAGAGAGAAAGGAGAGGCGGCTGCAGCCGAGCCAGAGCGCAGGGCCCACCGGCCCTCCCACGCCAACCTACATGCCCTCAGGGTGGGGCCCAGAGCGATGCCCAGGCTCTCAGCAGAGGTCTCTTCTCCGTGGGGCAGACGTAACCTGGTTACCTGCAGGCTCCGGAATGTCCTGGTGGCCACTGGAAAGGTGCCCACAGGGACAGATGGTCACCCAGGAACCTGGGGGTCCCCCCACCTGGCAATGGGGAGGCTGCTAGGCTGTCCCATCAGGACAGGGGCTGGATGAGGGCTAGTGGCATGGACAGAGAGCATCTCGGGGTGACGAGACCCCCAAATGCATAGTCCTGCTACAGAACCGATCCACAGACCAGGCAGCTGGCTGGCGGGGCAGGGTGGGGACACTTTTCAGGGAAAGCCAGGGCCTCCAAGATCCAGGAACAGCCACAGAGAAACTCACAG